GCTTCATCATGATCAGATGCTTCATCACGATCAATAGTGGATGCTTCATTAGGACCAATAGAGGATATTTCATCAGAGTTAATATTATCATAAACATAAATAGAAAAATATTCCTTTATCATTTCTTGTGATCTTATTGACAATTCAGGTACTAAGTTCTGAATTTCTGTTTCAGCAACAGTTTCTAATATAAAATATAAATATTATTAATAAATAAATGATACTAAATAAACAGTTAAAGAAATAATAGTTCCAATCTCTAATATAAAATACTTCACAATCTAGCGGTAAATCATTTATTTTTTTTAGGAAAAAATTAAAAGATTTATCTGAAACTATAAGCAATTTATGCCATTTCATTGTGTAGTATTTTTTTAATTTGTCACATTATCATAATACCTTTACTTTGACAGTATAATTTTTCAATTTCATTATTTTGATCTATCATAAAAGAACATAATTTGCATTAAAATATTTATCATTAAAATATTTAAATAAATATAACAAAGACAAATTACCTTTTAGGTTTTCAATTTCTTGCTCATATTCTATATAATTGTAATTTAAAAGTGTTAAATTATATTAAAATATATAAAACTCCGATTTTCAAAAATGATGCTCAAAACTTAATTACCTTGAACCTTTTTTTTTAGATCTTCAATTTCTTTTTCATATTCTGCAAAATCACAAAAATATTAGTTTAGACCGCTTAATAAATAGTAAATACAAATTATAAGGCTAATTTGTAAATAATTCTTTAGTACAATCCAAGAGAGAAGCATCATTCTAAACGCAAAAATACCATTTCGGATAGATCATCAGTATCATTCCTGATAGGGTAAAAAAAACTTTATTCGAGTACTATTCCTGATAGGGTTCTAAAAATGAACCCTAATCTTAACTTTGTTTTATACTTATACTTTTGCTATAGTAATATTATTATTTTAGAGGCCCTTTTTTAGAACCTTATCAGGAATGGTATATGAGTCAATATTTTTCTACTCTATTAGAAACAGTACCGATAATCCATCAGGAACAGTAATTTTGCGTTCTGAACTACTATTAAAATTTAAAAAGAAATGGTTAACTAAAAAAGTTATTTAATACATGATATAAGCATATATATATATTAATTACAGATTTTGCATCCCAAATTTATATATTTTTAATCAGATTATTATAATTAATCATCTAGTAATTAAATTTATATAATTTTGATACTATTATATTTGCCTTAATAAAGCAAATTTGATAGCACTATAATTATGTAATTTTAATTACTAGATGATAAACTATCATGATTTGATCAAAGTGTTAATTGTTAAGAGTATAAAATTGATTGTATATGCAATATTTTTAAAATAATGTATATATGCTCTTATATCATGCGAACTGGATTGGCTCTAAAATACTCTATCCCTCCTAAAACTAACTTTGTCAAAATCAATAACCCACCATAAATAGTGAATTATTATAATAATATATGAGTGTTGCCAAGGAAAAAGGCTCCACGGAGTTTCAATTATATTTTGTATTAGACACGATCCTTAATAAATTAGATAGATCGTGTCCGGTACAAAATATAATTGAAGCTCCGTGGTGCCTTTCCCTTGGCAGCACTCATATACTGATTGTAATATGATCCATTTCAATTTCAAATAGCCTAAATGACAGATATAGAAATAATTAAGTAATCAAAGCTAGCAAACTATATAATAATTTATCAAAATTAGATTAGATTTTTTATTAGCAAAATTAAAATAGTATCTCACAAGATAATGATTAAAACTTACATAGTTTTATATTTAAAGATATTAAAAACTTTATCGATATAATACGAAGATATTATATCGAACGCTATCCCTTAAACCATAACTTTTGCAAGCAATTTGCTTGCAAAAATTTATTCAATAATCGCACATACTAAAATGCCTGAGAGCATATTAAAGAAAAAAAGCCAGGTTTGACCAAAATTTGCAGGCAAGTTTTCTTGTAAATTGGTTTAAAGGATAATTTTCTAATATAGTTTTGATTACTTAATTTGATTCATCATTCTATATAGCATACGTACCTTGTACATTTTTAACCCGCTTATGTCCTAATATAATTTAATAAATATATAATTTCCAAATAAAATCTAACTTTAAATAATGATATAGAAATTTTACACTTGCCTTCAAAATTAAGCTCGATGATTGAATTTGAAAGATCAATAATTGAATTTGAAAGATTTACTTCTTCGTTATAGGGAACCCAATTACTAGCATATGTGTATAATTGATCACCAACTAAACCATAAACTTTGCTATCATCTTTTTCATAAACGCTAATAATTTTTGGATGTGGATTTACACTTTTAATTATATTATACGCTTTTGAAAGACATTCTTTTTCTTGTCTGTTAGCCATAGCGAAGCAAGTTTAGATCAATAAAGTTGATCAGCAACAAAAAAAACTTTATTTGTATTTATATGATTTGTATTTATACGTATGATTTACAAAAAGGATATATTAAAGTCAAATACGTATATATACACAAATACTGAAGTTTATACGTATATACACAGCCCACAATAAATTACTGATTTTTTATAAATAAAGCATATATATACGTATAAAGAAAATTTACACATCAATAAAAAATTTTGGGCCAAATTCTCAATTAGAGATTTATATTAGAGATTTACTTATCAAACTTCTAAAATTTTAAATTGTTACGTTAAGGTGAACGTTCAGGTGAACGTTAAGGTGAACGTAAAATGAATGTTAAGTTAAACGTTAAGGTGATTGCTAGAATGCTAGAATTAAAGTAAGGCGAACGTTTA